GACTAAGATAAAGCTCTGATAACAATCTAGCAGAAACTCCAGCCCCTGGGCATCCCTTTCCTTGAACCAGAGTAACAAAGGGAAAAGAAAAAAACAATGAGTAGTTCAAGAACCGAAATGCTTCATAGAAACTCAGTAATTTTTTTCACTGGCATACTTACATTGCTACCAAAATCCAGGGAAAATATTTCACAGATGGGCAGACCTTAATGAGAACCTGACAGTATTATTTTCTCCTATCTCAGCCCAGAATCAGTGCAGGCTTAAAAACCTTTAAAATCCTTTAAATTGTTAAGCAAATTTTGATAGAGGTGGCATCCTATATCACATAAATACCTGGTTTGCCCACACTTCCTCAGTGAAGGGCTCACTGTCATCTGAATAAACATTGTTGTCTAATTATAAAAAACATTCAGCAGAACCTTAGTCATGGAGAAGCAAAGGAAAGTTTAATTAATGCCTTCAGTTGGTTTGTTTCTGCTATAAAGTATACCTCCAAATAGAAACAATTTTGCTAAATTTATTGTTAAATGGCATATTCACTTCATTTCAAAAAAAACCCACATGGGAATAAAAATTACTGCACAGGATTCCTATTGTAACAGTGTTACTAATTACCCTCTTCATTGAGGAAAGTTTCAACCTTCATTAACGTTCTAATTAATGATCTCAATCCTGAATTTTATTGAGAAAACCATTTTTATATGGCATTAAAGTTGCCTAATATTTCTGCCAGCTTGAAATGCTTTCCATCCCAGTTACTTTTATGTTGCACACACACTGTGTGCCTAATTTGTGTTTCAGTTAGAATATTTATATTTCAGAACACAAATAAAGCTGGAGTGTTTGTGCAGAGGAGTCCCCAGGTGGAGCCTTCCTGGGTGCTGATCTCTGCTGATCCCAACCTGGAATATGGGCAATGCTTTATGCACCAGCTTTTGTATTTTTAGCCACATCTGACAAAAAAAAAAACCCAGCAAAGCACAGGCTGCCCATGCACAGGGCAACTGGGGACATTAATTTCTGCCTTCTTCACTCCTGAATCTGCAGGATTTGACACCAGCATCTGTCAAACCATTCCAGAAACACTGAAAGATAGAACTCCCATCCCAAATTCAGTGAAACCACAGAGAGAGAAGAGGGACCATCTCACCTGTCCCCAGCTCCTCTGTGTCTAACCAGCTGCCAGTGCTCCCCTGCTATCTGCTGGAGGAAAACAGCTTCTTCCAACTCATCCCAGCTTAGACATCTATTTAAGGATGGGATTAATCACACCTGAAGTGCCTCTATTTCTTCCCTGATGATAGAGAGCGTCTAGACAATTAGCTGAAAACGAGCACTTAACTTTCAGATAACTGGAGTTAGGTGACAGCAATCTCATCTGCATTTGGTATCAACTGCTCAAACTAAAATCAAAGGGAAAAATTTGGTAAAAAAACCCACACCACCAACACCTCAGAGTCAAAACCACCTTTCACTCTGAGCTAGGTTAGTTAATTCATCAGCGAGAGCAGCCTGAGAAACTTCCTGCAGTGAAACTTGTTTTCCCTCCCCCAGATTCCCTGGAGAACACAGCTCTGCTCCCCTTCCTGCTGCTGTTGCACTTGTGCCTCTCAGAGAAGAAGGATCTAGCCATAGCAAGCCTGGATACAAGCACAATCCTGAGCAGATGAGCCAGGAAAAGAATGGATTTTAAAGGGAATAAAAAATAACAATTAATTAATAATAAGCATTTAAGCATTGTTTCATCAGCTCTGCAAACAGCATAACCAGAATTTTCAGAATATTTAAGTAAAAAAATAGGTGCCTCTGTGCTTTTTTTTAAATCCCAATATGTATTTCTCAGCTTCTTCAGGGATGTAAATATTACTTGAGAATCCAGCCTTACATACCTTGGGTTCTTTTTCAATTAATCTGGATTCCCTACATCCTTCAGACAACATGCAAGCAAACAGAAAATACAGAAGAGGAAAATTAAGAATACAGACAACGTGATAAACATGGCTATATTCCCTTTAAAAATTACTAAACCTCTGCTTTTTTAGTATGTTTTATGAAGTTGTGTTTAAAAACAAAACAGAATAAGGACATAATATTGAATTTCACTAAATGAGAAGGGGAAGAGTAAAAGTCATCAAACAAGCAGAAGGATTGTTAAAAAAAAAGATTGCAGGAACATGAAGAATGTTTTAAATGGAATAGTGGGCCCTAGGGTCTAATATTTCTTAGGAACTATGACAGCTTCATAAAAGACAGGATTTAGATTTTCTCCTGATGAATAGAGTTGAGGAAAGAAATTGATTTCACTTGTAAAAGCTTAGGCTAAAACTAAGAAAGCACACAATATTCATGAAACATAAAATGTATTTTACTGAACAGCAAATTTGGAATTAATAGTTTCAATTTATATGAAACAAATTGGCTATTTTTCAAACAAATAAGTCTCTTGATGAGAGTTTTAAACACCAGGATGACAAAGCTTCCATTTACTGGGAAGGTTTAATTTAATGGGATTAGTTATTAGAAAGACTGGATTTTCCTGAATGGCTTTCACTGGTTGAAAGGTAATATATTGATACCCTGAATAAAATCCTTTTCCTGCACTGAATATCTTCAGCCTCTAGACTGATGCTGGCTTTGAGCCACGGAGCTTGGCTTGACAAATTTACAAACACAGTTTGGCAGGTGTGCTGGGCTCCTTGCTCCCAGTGAGAAGGTTGTTTTGTTAATTTTGATCACAGAAAAAGGGCAGCTCTGCATTCCCCCTGCAGTGCAACGAGCAAAAAGCTGGGCTGAGGAGTGGCACCTCTCCCTGCCCTGCACAGAGTAATGGCTGCAGTCACACGAAACTGAATTCTCTGTGGGAGGTGACAACTTCTGCCACAATCATCCTGCTCTGTTCTTCTGTTATCTCTGTTTTCCCACGCTCAGAAAAAATCCCACACTGAAAAACAAAATATTTTCGTGGAGCTGTGTAAGGCTCCAGAGCCAGATTCAAACTCAGAGCTGAAATCCACCATCTAAACTCAGCTTCAGTTTAGGAACAAAAATCTGGATTCTCTAGCTTTCCTGAAAACTTTAGACAAATTGGTTTCCATCTGCAATTGCTGTGAAAACTATTTATCCTTTATCAGATTCAGTTAAGAATTCTTTCTCTAACTAAAACCTATCTTAAAATCTTAACAAAAAAAATGTTAAGAAAAAAGTCTCAAACTAGGAATCATACACACCATGAATGTTAAAAGTCATGTCATCAAAAGCTCACTAAAGAACAAGACAGTGATGATAAAACAATAGTTAAAATTGCTGTTCATTGTGCAAAAAATTGTCTCCTTGAATGCTAAAACATCTGAATAAAAAGAAAAAACTCAAATGCATTTTAAGCCTAACAATAGAGCTGACTAGAGTAACAATCATGCCATAAAGTCACTATTTCCTAGAAATGCTTTTAAAAATACAAAATAGTTTTAATTATTCAAACTAAGAATCTTAGATCTACCCCTACTATAATAACTTTTTCCCTCTCCACCTTATAGAATTCTTTTTGATCCTGCATTAGACAATGAAACTGTTTCTTACAGGCTCTTTTACAATATCCTTAATGTAAATAATTATAGCACAGGTAAGCTGAGATCTGCTGCAGGACAGCTAGAGACATTTATTATTTTGCTTTTCAAAAGGGATTATTATGCTGGGATGTATCAAAATAATTGGAGTTGTAATAAATAAATTATTACACAAGTGAATTTAAATACCTGGAATCAATTTCAAATGAAGTGCAATCTCAATAGGATTACAATAGCATTAAACCCAGAACATGCTTATTATTATTTACACTCTCAAAAGAGGCAGATCAGATTTTTTTTTTCCAAACAGAGTCAGTCCTTATTCATTTACAGCCCCTTTGGAAGGAGTCAAAGTGGGACTTGCTTCCACTGGGGGAATTGTGCTAAAATTCCAGCAGCCCGTGATTGATTGTCAGTGCAGCACTGAGGTGCTTAGCTTTCAGAATATGGGGCATTTTTAAACATCATTCATTTTAAATATCATTCTGTGTTGCATGTCAAACTAGCCATATAACAGAGAAAAGGATTTTTTGTAATTTGTCTATTTGATTGTTTTACAGAAGGAAGAAAGAAATGAGTCATAAAAAAGAAGGAGGGGATAAATAATGTTGAAGTTGCAAAATACATAACTTCTTTGTCCATGATCAGTAAGCAACTGAAAGCCACCTTTTTTTATTTCTAAATTGCCTGCTGTGCTATGGTACAGGAAGAAGAGAGGAAAAACCAGGATTGTGGGACAGAATATTCTTTGTCTCAGAGAAAATACAAATCTGAAGCAGCCTGAGACAGGAGGGGAGGGTCAAGACCACCTTCAGAGGAAAGATTACCTCACTGGCTCTAAGCACTGCTCCTGATTTCAGAACAAACACAGTGACATTAACAACATTTAGGTTGGAAAGGACTAAGATCATCAACTATCAATCCAGCAAGCCCCTAAATGGCACAATCCACATGTGGTTTTGAGCACTTCAGTGCTAGTTCTGTAAACACAAACACCCTGAGGGAGCCTAACATAGCACAGACCTGATAAAAAATGTTATCTGGAGTTGAACAACTGCAAAATAAGTCTCTGCTTCATCCCAGTATTATTCCTCTTCATCCCACATCTTAGCAAATATAACTTCTGTGAATCACTGCTCCCAGCTGTGAACAGAAGTCATTTAAACCCCAACTTTCCCCCATTTTTCACACCAAACAATTAGCACTGGAGATGAATGAATGACTATTCAGGATGATTTCTATCAGCTACACCCTAAGCACCAAAGAATCACAGAGCATCCTGAGCTGGCAGGCTCCCATGAGGATCACCAAAGTCCTGCTCCTGGCTGTGCAGAGAACAGGAATCCCACCCTGTGCTTGGAAGCTTTGTCCAAGTGCTGCTGGAGCTCTGTCAGGCTGTCACCCCTTCCCTGGGGAGCCTGTTCAGTGCCCTGCCACCCTCTGGGTGAAAAACCTCCTCCTGATATCCAGCCTGACCCTCTCCTTGCACAGCTTCCCGTGGATCACCTTGAGCTGGACCAGCCCCCACGTCTGAAAGGAGGGAGACAGCTGAGACAGGGTTTTGTCAGCAAAAACAGCCATCACTGTGTGCCCAGAAGGGTATGCATGAGTTGAGGCCTCAATCCAGCAGACACAATAATTTTACTGCATTTTCCTGTCCCTTATGTGCTGCTGACCTAAGCACAGGGGCCCTCCTGTCATCCTCTGGTGCATCTCTAATTTTATCTTCATCGTTTTGCACCCCGGAATCCTCAGCAAAGACAAGCCCATGGATCCCCTGAAGAGGGGCTGTGCTGCAGAACTCTTCCACAGCTTCTGCAGGAGGATCACTCCCTCCAGGAGGGTTTCCCCTCTCGCTGCAGAGCCCAGCTGAGGAGAAGCTGAACCTCAAATTAATTCTTTCCTCCACACATTTGGGGGGTACAGGCTGCCTCTAGGAAGTGCTGCTTGCACTGCTGGCCCTGTAACAGGCAAATCTCCTCCTTTTTAAGGCAATATTAATTTCTGGCTTTTTCTTCTTTTTTCCCTCTCCCCTTCTTGTTTTGGGAAAGTTTGAAGGGAGGAGAGAACCAGTGAACTAAACAGTGCTGTGAAAACAGCAGAGCACAGACAAGATAACAGAATGTTTTCCAAATCTGCTCACAGACCCAGCTTCACAGATGCAGTCACAAAAACAGCCTGACCTGAATGTACAACCCAAGCAACATGCACAAACAACATGGATTCATCTAGTGACCAACATGGCACAAAAGAGTTTTCCAACACTGAGGCCAAAAACAACATTTTGAAGAAGAGGGTGAATACATTTTTGTTGCTTAAAAAAAAAAAAAATCGGCTAAAAGTCACAGAGATTTTCAGGCTTGTATCAGAGTTTTCAGCCTTAATGAATCTGTACTCTCCTTCAAAAGCATTCTACCACATGTTCAGGCATGGGTATTTCCTAATTCCTTTAACAAACTGGAGGGTGCATATTTCAGTGAATACATTTTTGTTTCTTAAAAAAAAAAAAAATCGGCTAAAAGTCACAGAGATTTTCAGGCTTGTATCAGAGTTTTCAGCCTTAATGAATCTGTACTCTCCTTCAAAAGCATTCTACCACATGTTCAGGCATGGGTATTTCCTAATTCCTTTAACAAACTGGAGGGTGCATATTTCTGATGTGA